TTTAAGGGTTTGTTGTTTTGGATTTTTTTACTACAGAAATGTCTCAGTTAGGTTATTTGAATATTTTAAAACTTTTATTGAAACATAAAGGTTTATTAAACATATTCATTGCCATGCTGTTCAATGTGGAAGGAAAGTGATCTAACTGTTCCACTGGAAAGAAGCACCCACAGGGTAGAGTCCTCAGCAGCCATGTAAAATATGTTTTAATAATTTAAAGATCAGGGAATGACTATATTATATTATATCAAGAGGAAAATAAACTCTCTATGCAGTGAGAGCAATAATTTTAAATGCACACCCACATATACACACCTACACACATACACATACCAAGACTGAATGCGGCTCTGGCCAGAGTGAAGGCCTGGGTCCGGGTGCCGGAGGAAAATGGGTGCCGGCAGTCAGGGGAAGGGAAGGCCTATTGCATGAATCTTTTCATGCAACAGGCCTCTAGTGTTTTAATAATTTAAAGATCAGGGAATGACTATATTATATTATATCAAGAGGAAAATAAACTCTCTATGCAGTGAGAGCAATAATTTTAAATGCACACCCACATATACACACCTACACACATACACATACCCGTACTCACATATACACATACACCTACCCACAAATACACATGCCCACACACATGCCTACATACACACACACCTCTATACATACACACATGCCTCTATAAATACACACACATACCACACACATACACACACACACATACATACACGCACACATACACATGCACTCACACACACACACATACACATGCACACACACACACACACACACACACACACACATACACATGCCCACACAAACATACACAGGCCCACACGTACAGAAAGAGAGACTGAAGCCGGGGAGCAATGCACCAAGAAGCCGAAGCCGCTCTCTCCAACAGAATTACAGGTGATTTTAAATATTCTTTTAAAAATTCTGTATTTCCTAAATACAGGGTGGGGCAAAAGTAAGTTTACAGTTGTAAGTACACAAAACACAGGGTTTATTCTTGTAGTATTATTTACTAATTATTGCATTATTTTCCATACCAACTGCAAACCTACCTTGGCCCCACCCCGTAGATTATATTTTTACAATCAGAAAATCCTGTAAAAAGTGAATTTTAAAACGCTGCCCATTGTTTTCTTTCTGTTCCTCAGACCTCCTCCTGTTAGGTTCTCATTCTCTGTCATGATGGCGGCACCGCACCCACCCGCAGCCGGCAGGAACCCTGAGTCACTCTCCACTCCCCTCCACTCCTCACACTGACCTGCTCCTTAATCCTTTCCGTTCTACTTCCTGAAGGGCTCAGACCTCCCCCCTCACTAGGGTAGTTCTAAAGGTGTGCCTCTGGACTCTCAGTTGGTTTTCTTGCCCTTTGCCTCTCCCACCTGGAACCCCCCTTCTCTGTGAGTGGTGTCCCCCCCCCCAAGCCGTACCCTTCCCTTGGCTCACTGCAGAGAAAAATCCCAATGCAGGCCCTCAGGGCCAGCCAGTGTGACCCCAGCCCACCTCTCCCGGGACACGCCTGCCACTCAGTCTCTCGGGATCCTGCATTCCAGCCGTACCTGGAGGCAGGACCCGCCAGCAAAGTATGCAATAACTGGTGCACAACAACCTCCAGACGGCCAGACTCAGGCCGGTGGTGCCGGCTGCTTCGGGCTGGCTGAGTCTGCCCTGCTCCCTGGATGTGGCCCGAGTGTGTGAAGTGTGGAGGCAGCAGATTCCTCCAGCACCAGTTCCCACCAGCCAGTTCTGAGCCCTGCTGCAGGGAGGACGCCTTGTCCGAGCTCCGAGCTCGAGGTGCGGGAGAGCCGAGCCCCATTCCCCGCAACCACCCTGGCAGCCAGTTAGCGTTTTGATCCCTGGAACAGTGATAAGGTGAGGAAACACTCAGATGTTATCTCTGCACTTTCACTTCTTCCTTGGACCTTCCTGGCCACTCCCTTAATGGCCGGAGCAGAGGCATCCCTGGGTCATAGGGAACAGAGGGTCTGCGAGCTCAGTGAGCTTGGGTGCTTGTCCTGCGATGATGTCCAAGTTCACACTCCGCACAGCAGGGGGCGAGACGGGTCACCTGGCCGGTAGGAATATGGTGTGTGAAGTGCTTGCTCATTTTAGAGGCACCTGCTTGCTGGTAAGATTTCCTTTTCCTGTGCATCATGCATGTTATGGGCTGGGCTTCATTTCCTTGCCCCCTTTTCACTTGGGGTTTCAAGTTTGCTCTGCCTTAAGAGCATCAATGTTTGTTTTGTTTTAATATTTCTATTGATTTTTTAGAGAGAGGGAGTAAGAGAGGGAGAGAGAGAGAGAAACATCGATGTGAGAGTGAAACATGCATCTACTGACTCCTGCACGCCCCCTACTGGGGATTGAGCCTGGAAACCCCAGCACATGCCTGGCCAGGAATCTAACCAGCAACCTTTTGGCGCCTGGGACAACACCCAACCCACAGAGCCACGCTGGCCAGAGCAAGAGCATTCGTGTTTTAATTGGTGAGCTGACCTCTGCATCTGTGAGGAGGAAACATGCAAGTACAAATCCCCACCCATGATCCAGAAGGTCAGACACTGAAAGGAAAGCCGGTTCTCTGCTCTGAGTCTCTGAGTCAATATCCTGTTTATTGACTGCATTTCAATTGCTTGAAACGTAATGGTCTCTGCAGGCTCGGGAAAGAGAAAACGCTGAGCGGGTGTCCGGAAACCTACATTCCAGTCTTGCTGACTTCACACAGGAGAAAGGGAGCTGGACCTAGAGCAATGGTTTGCTCTCTCTCTCTCTCTCTCTCTCTCTCTCTCTCTCTCTTCCTCCCCTAGGTTGAGCTTCTTCTGCTTTAACACACAAATTAATCACCGCCGGATCTTGTTCAAATGTGCATTCTGATTCTGTAGGTCTGGGGCAGGGCCTTTCCGACAAGCCCCCAGTGATGCTGCTGGTCCATGGCCCCCATTAAGTAGCAAGGTCTAGGTTACACCCTCTTGCCCACCCCACCTTCACTAAACGCCCTACCTGGTTACTACCTCTCAGCCTTCAGGCCCCAGCCCAGCCTCCCCTCCCCATGGCAGCCCTCCAGGTCCTTCTGAGATGGATGAGAACTAAGCATCCCCGCTGATGATGTTGATTAGCTCAGCCTGAGTCCCAGCCTGACGGTAGGAAGCAGGCAGTGGGTGTGGTCACCACAGCTCCAGCAGAATCCCGCACCGTGTCTGGCTCGGGGAGGATGATCCTGCAGTCATCCTCCGGCATCCACAGGGCCTTAGTCCCAGGACCTGCCTTGGACACCGAAGTCCAGGGACGTCCCTTATATAAAGTGGACTAGTATCTGCTAGAAGCACATCCTCCCGGTGCTGTAACTCTCCTCTGGGTCACTTACAAACCTACCGCAATGTGAACGCTGCGTTAAAAGTTGGTCCACTGTAGTGTTTAGGGATCAGCTTCTGGGAATGGTGGTGGGATTTTTTGATGGACATTTAGTTGAATTGGCAGATGTGGTGCCCCTCATACAGAGGCGGGCGGTAACTCTTTTCTGGATCAGCGAATGGATGGCTGCTTGTCTCTATTTGTCTAAGCTTTTTACAGTCTCGTTAAGACGTTTTCACACTCCAGGCAGTAAAATGCTCGACGTGTGTGTTGAGATCTGCTTGTGTGCCGTGCATTTGGTAAGAGCACGTTGGTTTCATTCGTGGAGAGCTGCTGTGACCCTCCCCAGGAATCACCCGGCCTCCCTGCCCCTGCCAGGCTCCCCTCCCACCCACCGTCCATGTGCTTGAATGTACCTAACCCTCCAGGAGGAAGAAGGGCATGGCCTGGGTTGTGCATGGAGTGGCCTGGTGGTTTCTTCATGATTCCTGATGGTCAGCCTCGCTTCCATGATCAATAAGGCCTCTGTTTCTCATGCCCTTTAAAATGAACTCAACATGCCTGGCCAGTGTAGCTCAGTGGTTGAGCTTTGACCTATGAACCAGGAGGTCACAGTTTGATTCCCGGTCAGGGCACCTGCCCGGGTTGCAGGCTCGATCCCCCAGTGTGAGGTGTGCAGGAGGCAGCCGATCAATGAATCTCATCATTCATGTTTCTATCTCTCTCCCTCTCCCTTCCTCTCTGAAATCAATAAAATAAGATATTTATAAAGGGACCTGGAGGGCTCTGCCTCTCGAGAGCACACCCTTCAAATAAAACACCCTGGAGCTTATCTGTTTGCTCATTCATTTATCCAGTCATTGGACAAACATTTAGAGAGTGCTGACCGTGAGCCAGGTCCTGCCGAGGCCCTGGGATTCCGCTGTGAACTAGTCAGAGACCCTCTCCTCATGGAACCTAGTCTATCGAGACAGAGCTACACTCCAGATACTAGTGAACAAGAAAATGTCTAAATTAATGCCAGGCGTGGCTCAGTGCTAGGGGGGAGGGGCAACAGGTGGGGATAAGGAGAGGGTGATGAGAGGGGAGTGCTAGTTTTGATAAATATCACAGGGCTCCCTCCCATCACTGTGGCCCATTTCTATAATAGTCCCCCCCCCCAACACACACACACACAGGCTGCCCTTCTGTGGCCTCCCCTGCCCTTCAGAGTTGACCTTGACATCTGGTCCAGCCAGCCCTCACCTGCACAGATGTCCTGGCGAGGTCAGAGGCAACCCCAGGCCTGGTTCTCCCAGGAGACAGAGTGGGGTGCCGATGGCAGGTCTGCTCTCTGTTCCCTACCACCCTGCAGAGGGTGTGCCCACAGGCGCTGCCCTGGCGGCTCGGCCAGGCCACTTCCGTCCCGCCCAGGCTTCCCGCTCGCCCTTGCCCCATCGGGGGACAGGCCCCTGCTCAGGCACCAGGAAGCTGTGGCTCGGCATGACTGTTATTTCAAGGTGTCCACGAGGCAGGGGCAGGGGCAGAGGGAACAGCTTGTCCCTGGGACAGCAGTGGCACCCTCGCCCGGTTTCCTGGTTAGGACAGTCATTCAGGTCCCCTCATTCGGGTGTCCCCACCTCAGGTACCTCTCACCTGTCCTCCCTGCCACTTGCCCTCAGGAGCTGTCCTACAAGGGACCAGCCCGCTACAGATGATTTCCAGATGCCTCCTGCCTCGACACCTGGTGGCTCTGATCTCATGTCGTCTTGGAGCAGATGGTAAAGGGCTATTTAATCACCTAACTCGGTTGATAAGTGTTTCCAGGGAAAGAAAACACTGGCGGCCGGGCAGTGCTCTCAAACTGGCGCAGGAATGACAGGCATCCTGTGAACAGGAGCACCCACTCGGGGTGGGGGCGGGGTCTGCAGTCCTAACAGGCTCCTGGGGGCTGCAGGTCCTGTGACTGCCCGTTGAGGACCAAATGCCGCCCTGGCCTCTCTCCTCCCATCCTCATCATCAGCTCCAGCGGTTCTCAGCTGGGAGCAGCTGTGCCTCCCAGAGACACAGTTTTTGGTGTCACAATTGTGTTCGCTTTATAAAGGAACACAATAAGCCAGGGGAGTTGTCGTTGGCCGTGTAGGGGACAGAGAACAGGAACAATGCTAAGCATCCTACCACGTGCCCAGATTGAAAACCCTACATCCTAACTCGGTAGCATCCAATTCTGTCTGTACATTAGAGTTACCTGGAGTTCTTCTTAAAAGATCGGTTCCGAGGGTCCCTCCTAGAACATGACATTGGAATCTTGGGGTGAGGCTTTGATTCTGTACTTTCAGATGCAAACTGGGATTTGAATGTGCACTCCCGCTGAGAGCCAGCGGCCCCCACTGGCATCGTCTGAAAATGTGAAGACTGGGCGGAGGAAGAGTGTTCGTATTTAAGGACTTGTTACGTTGCCCATAATTGCACAGCACACATTTTTGCTCACACTGGCCGATGGGTGTGTGTGGAGTAGCCGGAAGAGACACCACTTACTTTCTTTGGTTCTGCTCTGTCAGGACCTGGGGATCTGAGGGCCCCTGTGTGTGTGTGTGTGTGTGTGTGTGTGTGTGTGTGTGTGTGTGTGGCGTGGGGGGGGGGGGAGGATCCTGCCTCCGCCCTGGTGCAAAGAATTGCTAGCTGGGGTTCTCTCCTCCCCTTCCAGGAGCCCCATCCCACATGACATTGGTCATTATTGGCTTCCAACACCTCAGCGACTGCAGGGGAGCTTTTATTTCATCTTTATGGAAACTGTGGAGGTTAATTACAACCATCACCATCGTGTGACGTTACAGGTGAGAAAACTAAGGGCCAGAAGGATTAGTGGACCAGCTAGGAAAATGGCAGAGCTCGGATTAGAACCTAGAATTTGTAAATTCAAATCAAATAATGTCGTCCCTTTCTTCTGCTGCTTTCCATCGAGTTTGTTTCTTCATTCATTCATTCAACATGCATTGACAATTTGCTATGTGCCAAGTGTTATTTTAGTTGCTGGATAAACAAGTCGTAGAGAGTTCTTGCCTACCAGTAATGCCCAGGCTCATGGGTGGGACAGAACGGGTACAGGTCATTATAATACAGTGTTGCAAATGCCCCTAGAACAGTGGTTCTCAACCTTGGCTGCACATTAGAATCACCTGGGAATCTTTTAAAAATCCTGATTTCTGGGCCTCATCCTCCGGAAATTCTGTTTCTTTGTTACTAATGTTGTGCCCCTCCCCCACCCCATAACAAAGAAACAGAATTTCCGGAGGATGAGGCCCAGAAATCAGGATTTTAAAAAGATTCCCAGGTGATTCCAATGTGCAGCCAAGGTTGAGAACCACTGCCCTAGAAGAGCACAAAGAAGAGGCCCAGGTGCTGAACTCATCCTGAGTCCTACCAGCTGGGGGACTCACTACCCTTCTCAGGTCCTCAGCTGCCTCATCTGTAAAATGGGTTTAAATTCTCTTCTCCCTGGATTGTGATTATACAGTGAAGCCATGGAAGTAACAGGTCCGAAGTAAATGTTTGTTCATTCATTCACCTGCTTCATTAAGATACTGGATAAACAGACGGACTTGAGTCAGTGAAAACTTCTTGTTTCTCTCTTTAGAAAGAAGGCAGACATTTTTATTAAACAGGTTTTTCCATTTTTCTTGTCATCTCTAAAAAGATGTGTGTTTAACTATTTTCTACTCCACTCGGCACTGTTTGGCTTTGTAAAGGAACAAAATAAGCCAGGTTTGTTGGCATGGGCGTTGTCCGGCAGTGCGACCAAGGAGTTTTGGTCTGTCTTCCTCATCAGGTATCCTGGCTTCTGTTCTGCATGATGAGATTAAGAGCAAGGTAAGAACATGAGTTTAGCGTTTTTATTTCTCTCAGGAAACCACGTTTCCACTCGTTCCAGCCAAAGCCTGTGCTGATCCAGCACCCCTTAGCTGTCAGCCTTGATGACCAGGATCAGTGGCAGTATGGCATTGTTGACCTAGAAAAATCGTTATTTTACCAGCAAAGAATTGTAATTCTGAATATTAGCTCTAATGGCAAAACCATAGGCAAATCTGGAGAACCAAGAAGAGGATCATTCTTTTTATAGAGGGAAGTGGGAGTTGGGAGGGCCTGTTACAAACAGAGTTCATTGGAGGAAACTGGGAGTTTCAGCTTTTCATTGCCTGAGTTGTGACAATCTCTCATTGGCTGGGCTGTTGCCAGGCAAGGAGAAAATCTTCCTTCCTCCTGCTAGGGTAGTCAAAGAGAAAACATCTTCCTATTGGAGATGCAAGGTTTGTCTTTTCCTCTTTGGGGTAATTGAGGATGAGTGATAGAGCATGAGAGCTCCTCCTACAAGCGCTCCAACTTTAATTGAGGTTTTCTTTATTAATTTTCAGAGCATCAACCCCCTTTTCCTGACCCTTGTTGCCTGAACTTGAATTATAATTACTGATAGGAGCCAAAAGCATTGTTTTATGTAGCAAGTGTTCCAAAAATACCAGTTTATTATTACTCTCAGTTGAATACAGTTGGAGGCCTTTGAAGATCAGGCCTCCAAAGAGATAAGATTTATACATAACACATGGGTGTGGAAACATCCCCACTGACAAGTCACTTAACCTGGGATTCTCGGCTTCCTCATCTGCAGGTTGAGAGTGTGGAGAGCAGACTCCCCATAAGAAGCCTCCTTCTAACTCTCGGAAGGTCGTGACCCTCAGTTTAGCTCAGCACTGCCCTTATAGACCGAGTGCTTGAGCGCCACACCCCAGAGTTATGTGTTGAAGCCCTACCCCCTGCAGGTCCTGCCTTCCAGAAACCCACAGGCCCAGGTGCCCCTGACATGCCAAGAAGTCATGAACCCCACTTACAACAAACACACGGAGATCCCGGGTGTGGGGGCATGGATCAGAAGTAACTGGGGCAGCATTGCTCAGAAACATTTTAATCTGGAAACTAACTCGAAGGCACTTGAACTGAGGCTCCTCAAACATTTCCTGTATTTATTTTTAATGAGACATGATTATGAAAGGGCTGAGGATGGCAGTGCAGGAGCTAAGCCCCAACTTGAAGGAAGCGGAAGCTGCTGGAGAGGGGGAGGTGGGGGGCGGAGCCAGTGGACAGCCAGGGCACCAATGGGGCCTCCTGGGGGACAGCTCACACCACAGCCAGCCGCACGTGGGCCTTTTTACATGTACTTCCCAGCCTCGGGAGCTTCCCTGGGCGGCTCTCATGGAGTGTCATTGGATTGTGCTGTTTCAGCAGCCAGAACCCCAGGAAAGCGGCGGCAGCGGCGAGGGGGGTGGGGGGCACAATGGGGGGGCAGTCTGAGGGCTCTGGGCAGGCGCCTTGGGAGGGTGCCTCCGTGGGGTCTCCCCAGCAGGAAAGGCGGCCATGCACCCAAAGGGACCTACAGAGTATGGGGAGTGACAGGAGGGTGGTGGTGGACCCCCCACTGGACACATGGTGGGGGCAAGACCCCACCGCCACAGTGGGGTCTGTGATGACGGAGAGGCCCCCCCCCCACTTCACTAGAGGCCACGGGCGCGCAGATCCCACGTGCCGCCCGGAACCGCAGGAGGCGGTATGGAGCCAGCCACGTGCTCGGCCTGGGCCGGGATGGCGCGGGCGCGGGGGCGCAGACGGCTCCTGGCGCGCAGAGACCGGAGGCGGAGACTGGGTGAGACGGCTGCGCGCAGAGCGGTGGTGGAGGTCTGGGTCGGGTCAGGGTCTGGGTCGGGTCAGGGTCTGGATCAGGTCGGGTCAGAGTCTATGTGGGGCCGGGCGGGGTGCGTTGGGACGCAGGGCGGCCCCGCAGGCAGAGGCCCTGGGATTGGAAGGGACTGGCCACCTCCCTGAGGGGTCTCTGGATTCCCAGGGTCGCCAGACCACACGGTGAGAACTGCGGTCTGTGGTGTAAATTGAATGGTCACTGAATGCCAAGTCCTGGGGGAAGTTATGAAAGAAATAAAAAATTAAGCCGGATAATCTTGATATTAAAATGAGAACATAAGTATGTTCATTCAGTTCAGTGTGTGAAACTAAGGAAGGACAAATGGAGACATGAGTGCACCGAAGCTACAGAACAGTAAACACACACACACACACACACACACACACACACACACACACTCTAGGTCTCAGAGTGTGTGTGTGGGGTCTACCTTTGACGGACCCAGGCAGCTGTGACCCCAAATCGCACCCCTGCCATGGCTCTGGAGACCACCCTCCCAGAGCTGACAGGTTGCTGGGGAGTTTGGGATGACCAGAGGCCTGTGGGGGCCCGGGGGAGAGGGTGGCTGAGAGGAGGGGAGGCTTGGTGGGGGGACCTTGAAGGAAGGGCAGGATAGAGCTATTGGGGAAGCTCCTCCAGGTTGAGATGGGACACAGGTTGTCCCCCCAATGCCACTGAAGGATGCTGAGACAGCTGGTAGAATGCGCCCCGTCAGGGCTCCCAGCAGGCCTCTGGCAGGAATGGCACCGGGCAGGGCAGCTTTCCTGTGCCGCATTGGCTAGACTGAGCTCTAGATGTGCTCCCAGGGCCCCGAGACTTTCAAAGCTTCACACACCTGTTCTGCCCTATCATTTTAATGGATTTATTGTTGTTGTTTTTTGATAACAGACTTTAATGAAGTATAATTTATATGCAGTAAAGTACACAATTCCTAAATGAATATTGCTCGGTACCGTTTGCATAGGATTCTTGTGTCCTCGCTGCCCAGGTAAAGACAAGGAGCTTTTCATCTCACCAGTAAGTTTTCCCATGCTCCTTCCCACTGAATAGCTTTCCACCCCTACGCTCAGAGTAAACGGTTCTGTCCTCTGTTGCCATAGATCAGTTTTGTTGGTTCTTGAACTTCATCTATATGGAGACTAAACAACATGCTACTAAACAATCAATGGATCAAAGAAGAAATCAAACAAGAGGTCAAAAGTCCCTTGAGACAAGTGAAAATGAAAATACAACTTTCCAAAATGTATGGGATGCAGCAAAAGCAGTTCTAAGAGGGAAGTTCATAGTTTTACATGCCTACCTTCAGAAACAAGAAAATAATTTCAAATAAACTGCCTAACTTTACACCTAAAGGAACTAGAAATAGAGCAAACCAAACCTAAAATAAGTAGAAGGAAAGAAATAACAAAGGTCAGAGTGGAAATAAATGAAACAGAGAATTAAAAAGCAGTAGAAAAGATCAATGAAACTAAGAGCTAGTTCTTTGAAAGAATAAATAATATTGACAAATCTCTAGCCAGACTCATCACAATAAAAAGAGCACAAATAAATAAAATCAGAAAGAGGAGAGATTTCAACTGACAACATAGTAATACAAATGATCATTAAAGAATACTATGGATAATTATATGCCAACAAATTGGACAACCTGGAAGAAGTGGATAAATTTCTAGAAACATACAACCTTCTGGGACTGAACCAGGAAGAAACAGAAAATCTTATCAGACTGATTACTAGCAAATGAAATTAAGGCAGTAATAAAAAAAATCTACCAACAGCCCTAGCTGGTTTGGCTCAGTGGATAGAGCATCGGCCTGTAGACGGAAAGGTCCCAGGTTTGATTCCTGTCAAGGGCATGTACCTCAGTTACAAACTCAATTCCCGGTCCTGGTCAGGGCAACCAAATTGATGTTTCTCTCTCTCTTCCACTCTCACTAAAAACCAATGGAGAAATATCCTTGGGTGAGGAGTAACCACAAAATCTACCAACAAACAAAGCCCTGGACCAGATGGCTTCACAGGTGACTTTTACCAAAAATTCAAAGAAGAATTAATA